TGCCCTGTGACCTCTGACTCTGCAGCCTGGGAGCCCCGGCCCCGACCTCCTGCGCCCCAGACCAGAGCCCGGGGTCCTCTGGACCGTACCTGGGGCTCAGGGGGCAGCGGTCGCCCCCGTCCCGCCCGGAGCGTCCACCCGGGACAGTGCCCCGGTCCCCCCACCCCACCCGTCACTCTCCTCCCCGGGAGCAGCGCCTGCCCCCAGGGTCGCCGTCCTCCTCCTCGCTCACCGCGCTGTTGGTGAGGTTCCCTCCCCGGGGTCAGCAGCGGGGTCACAGCCGGTGCCCGGGCCGGCCGAGCGCCCCACGCCTGCCCGGGCCTGGCCGAGAACTTCCAGCTGCCAGCACCTGCCCTGGCCGCCTTCCTGGGAGGCTCCGGGTTCCGGGTCACACGGGCTGCTCGGGAGGCCTGGGCACCAGGCTGTCTCCCTGGGCGTCCTGCCGGTGACAGCCCTCCGAGAGGAGCCGGCTGGGCCGGCTGGGGTTGGGGGCGTGGCATGGTGCCGCGGATGCTGATGTTGGAGGTCGCCGCCCCTTCTTCACCTGGCAGGAGGAGGGGCCGGCGCCTGCCTCTGCCCAGGGCTTGGGGTTTCACAGAGGTGGCGCAGGCACAAGCCCCGGACGGATGCGGGGACCCTTCCGCCTCTAGTCCAGGGTCTGTCGATCAGCCAGTGGCCCCGCTTCCTGCCTCCTACACCCTCAGAATCTCGGGTGGTGGCCCTCAGCGCAGGGTGCCAGCTGCATGATCAGAGCGGGGAGTCTGTTGGATGACAGTTGACCCCAGGCTTTCTTTCTTTTTATTTTTATTTATTTATTTATTTATTTATTTATTTATTTAATTATTTATTTTGGTTTTTCGAGACGGTTTCTCTGTGTAGTTTTGGTGCCTGTCCTGGAACTCGCTCTGTAGCCCAGGCTGGCCTCGAACTCACAGAGATCCACCTGGCTCTGCCTCCCGAGTGCTGGGATTAAAGGCGTGCGTCACCACTGCCCGGCAACCCCATGCTTTCTTAATTGGGACAAAGGGGCCTCTGGGACTGCTGAGGTTTCAGGGAGCCCCTGTTGCTGTGTTTCCTGCCCGTCCTGCCTGCCCAGCTTCCAGCCTTCATAGATGGGGCTGCCTGACGGCCAGGGCTGCCTGACCTATACCACCCTGCCCCCTGCCCCCACCCCAGCCTGGGTGTCAGCTCCTGTGGTGACAGCCTCAAAGACTAAAGAGACAGACCTCACCTCCAGGCCCAGGGGCCTGGCTACGCAGCTTATCGCGTGGGTGACTGGGGTGAAGGGACACTGCGTGGTGCCTTAGGACGTGGGCAGGTGTGGAAGGCCAGGAGCAGTCCTGGCCCCTGCTCAGGGCCCTGCCTCAGTGGAGACCTTTGGTGGGCCGGGATCTTGACATCCCGCCCGGCTGAGGCTGGTGTCCTGTACCCACCACAGGCCTGTCTTCCCATTGGGCAGGTGGACTGTCACCCCAGACAGCAGACTGGGGTGACAGTGAGACTCCCACCTGCTCACAGGGTATGGGATGTCCTGAGAACCCTGGGTGGTGGCACTGGGTACCTGCAGGAGGTGACAGCATGCCGCCCTACCAGGCCAGTGTGAGCAAGCTCAGTGCCTGTGTCTGTGGCACACAGTGGGCAGATGGGCCCCAGGGCCTGAGTGGGATGCCAGACACTAGCTCAGTGACAGGTGGGGACTTGAGTGGCCAAAGTAGCTGTGGTGGGGAGAGGACCCAGGATATGTCCGGTGGCCACCTCCCTCTGACTCTAGGCCTGCTTGCTCCCAGTCTTGGCCTGACTGGCAGGAGCCGCTGCCTCCAGTCTCAGCCTGGGGTGGCAGACTTCATGACGCTTGGTACAGAAATCCATTTCGTGTCCCAGGAGAGCCTCACGGTTCACACTGGAGGGTGTCGGCTTTAGGTGTGACTAGCCCAGGACTTTGGCCTTGGTCTCAATCCCAGGGCCCCCACCCTCTGCCTGCTCTGCATCCCCTCGGGTCAGTACTGGGAGGGCTGGGGGCTTTGTTGACCCAGCTCTGTCTGCAGACTGCAGAAGGGAGGTCCTGCCTGGTCTGGCCTCAGGTCCCTTATGTCCCACACTGCTACCGGACAGCAGATGAGGAGGGTACTGTTCCGCTTGCCATGGTCTCTCGGGGTTAGAGCTGGGGAGTCCCGTCACCGAGGAGTGTAGGGATTTGAGTGCATACATTGGGCATTCAAGGCTGTCCAAGACTGTCATGGCTCTGGTGACTCCCATCACCCTGCCCTCGATACCACTTTATCGGCCAGGGTCCTGGTTCTCATGGATCTGTAGACAGACGGGTCTGTACTGGCCAGCAGAGGTGTGGTGGGAAGCTAAGGCGTTAGTAGGGGCCGTAGAGGAGGGTTACCTGGACAGCCCACAGAGTGCGGGGCACATCCTGGGGTTTGCAGGTGCTGAGGACATCCCTAACATCCGTCTGATATGGGTGAGGGCAGTGGTTCTCAGCCTTCCTGATACCGCTGCGGCCCTGCAATACAGTTCCTCGTGTTGTGGTGACTTCATAACTGTAACTTTGCTACTGTTATGAATTGTAATGGAAAAGCATCTGCATTTTAGGTGGGCTTAGGTGACCCTTGTGAAAGCATTGGGTCACAGCCCACAGTCACCCACACAGTAGAGAAAGTAGAGGTTGGGACCTTGAATGACTGTGCTCCAGCATAGGGGTATTTGAGGTCAATAAGTAATATCAAGTAATCTGTGACTTTTAAAAAATTTGTAGCCAGGCGGTGGTGCACACCTTTAATCCCAGCACTTGTGAAGCAGAGGCAGGCGGATCTCTGTGTTCTAGGCTAGCTTGGTCTACAGAACGAGTTCGAGGCCAACCAGGGCTACCCTGCCTTAAAAAACAACAACAAAAATTATATTTTATTTGTTTATTGTGTGTGTGAATGCATATGGATGTGGGAGCATGCATCCCACAGTGTGCATGTGGAGGTCAGAGAACAGCTTGCAGGTGCCAGATCGCTCCTTCTACCTTGTGTGTATGTCCTGGGGATCAAACTCAGGTTTCCAGGCTTAGTGGCAAGCACCTGTACCAACTGAGCCATCTCAAGGGCCCACACGTTTTTGTTTTTTTCCTTTCTTAACCTGTACGTGAACATCTGGGGGTGGGTTGGTCTCAGCACGGCATCCTGAGCCCTGAGGGTGTTGAACAGAGTCCTTGCCCTCTGTCCACACATTCCATGCCAAGAGCTACCCCGACCCCTCGTCCCCCCCACCCCCACCCCGTCCCCAACATGGCCCAGGGGTTCCTGGGTGCAGGTTACCAGCAAGAGTGGCCATAATCCCTTTGCAGGTGAAGCTACATTTATTTCCCAGGGGGGCAGCCTGGTCCTGCTGAGGTGCCTTGCTGGGGACAATGGCTGTTCTTAGGCGGTGAGATCAGGGCTCTGTCGGTGAGCAGCAGTAGGGTTGGGGTCCCCAAAGGCAGCTTCGCGTCCACGAAACTGCTGGAGGGGCACGAGAACCCTTGCAGTGGGGACCTGGGCCAGCTGGGCCCCAAGCAGGCACAGGCAGCCAGGGCCACCCTGTCTGGGAGAGGATGGGTGTCTCTCTGCCCTGCTGACTGCCCTCTCCCCACACCCAGGCCCTGTTTGTGCTTTTCGTGCTGGCCTACATACACATTGTCTTCTCCCGGTCGCCCATCAACTGCTTGGAGCATGTTCGCGATCGATGGCCGCGGGAGGGCGTTCTCAGGGTGGAGGTGCGCCACAACTCAAGCCGGGCGCCCGTGGTCCTGCAGTTCTGTGAGGGGGGCCTCAGCGGCCTGGAGCTGGAGCCAGGGGGCCTGGAGCTGGAGGAGGAGGAGGAGCTGACTGTGGAGATGTTCACCAATAGCTCCATCAAGGTGAGCCGGTGGGTGACCCACCCGGTGGGCGCTGGGCACTGCCCCCTGCAGCCTCCCTGATCACCTGGTCCCTGTGCCGCAGTTTGAGCTGGACATCGAGCCCAAGGTGTTCAAGCCACCAGATGGCACAGACGCCCTGAACGACAGCCAGGACTTCCCTTTCCCCGAGACGCCGGCCAAAGGTGCGTGGTCCCCGGCAGGGGGGTGGCGGCCGTGCCGAGGGTGGGGCCAGCTGACCCGGTGCCCCTGTCTGCAGTGTGGCCGCAGGACGAGTACATCGTGGAGTACTCCCTGGAATACGGCTTCCTGCGGCTGTCGCAGGCCACGCGCCAGCGCCTGAGCATCCCGGTCATGGTGGTCACCCTAGGTGAGGCCCTGGGCATCCTGGTCGGCTGCGGCTGGGCCAGCGACCGCCCAGCTGCGGGGGTCCCCGGCCCCCGTGACCAGTATCGACCCCCGTGTACTCACAGACCCCACGCGGGACCAGTGCTTCGGGGACCGCTTCAGCCGCCTGCTGCTGGACGAGTTCCTGGGCTACGATGACATCCTCATGTCGAGTGTGAAGGGCCTGGCGGAGAATGAGGAGAACAAGGGTGGGCTCCAGAGGGGGCGGGGACGGGAGGGGAGGGGCGGTGCCCGGGTGCCCGCTGCTCACGGCCGCCTCCCTCCCTCCCTCCGTAGGCTTCCTGAGGAATGTGGTGTCCGGGGAGCACTACCGCTTCGTCAGCATGTGGATGGCGCGCACGTCCTACCTGGCGGCCTTCGTCATCATGGTCATCTTTGTGAGTGAGGGGGTGGCTGACCCCGGGGGGCGCCCGCGGGCTGGGGTCGTCCCGCGGGCTGGGGTCGTCCCGCGGGCTGAGGTCGTCCCGCGGGCTGGGGTCGTCCCAGGGGCTGGGGTCGTCCCGCGGGCTGGGGTGGCCCCACTCCCCCTGACCGCCCCCCCCCCGCAGACCCTGAGTGTGTCCATGCTGCTCCGCTACTCGCACCACCAGATCTTCGTCTTCATCGGTGAGTCCCGGCCGGCCGGGGGTGGGGTGGGCTCTCCCCAGGCCCTCACGGGCGGCCGCCCTGTGCCCGCAGTGGACCTGCTGCAGATGCTGGAGATGAACATGGCCATCGCCTTCCCCGCAGCGCCCCTGCTGACCGTCATCCTGGCCCTCGTCGGTGAGGACCCCCGCCGCGCCCCCGCCCCCGCCCCGCCCCGCCCGCGCCAACCCCGCCGCGTGTCCCCGCAGGGATGGAGGCCATCATGTCCGAGTTCTTCAACGACACCACCACGGCCTTCTACATCATCCTCATCGTGTGGCTGGCCGACCAGTACGACGCCATCTGCTGCCACACCAACACCAGCAAGCGGCACTGGTTGAGGTGCGCGGGGGCGGGGTCGGGGGACTGGGAGGGGGCGGGGTGGGGGCGGGGACCCGGGAGGGGAGGGGCGGGGACCGGGAGGGGCGGGGAGGGGGACCGCGAGGGGCGGGGACCGGGGTCGGGGACCGGGGGGCGGGGCCTGTCTGGCAGGGCAGCTTCTCCGCCCCCACCCCGCAGGTTCTTCTACCTGTACCACTTCGCCTTCTACGCCTACCACTACCGCTTCAACGGGCAGTACAGCAGCCTGGCCCTGGTCACCTCCTGGCTCTTCATCCAGGTGAGGGCCCCCCTCCCGTCCCCCCAGACCGGTGGCCTCGCTGCGGGTGGGCGGCCCGGCTCACGGCCTCTCGCTCCCCCCTCCCCCCCCAGCATTCCATGATCTACTTCTTCCACCACTACGAGCTGCCGGCCATCCTGCAGCAGATCCGCATCCAGGAGATGTTGCTGCAGATGCCGCAGCTGGGCCCTGGGACGCCCACGGCGCTGCCCGACGACCTCAACAACAACTCCGGCTCCCCGGCCGCCCCCGACCCCAGCCCTCAGCTCGCGCTGGGCCCCGGCT